ATTTTTTGTTGTTGTTGCAGTTTGGCCAGGGCTGGGTTTGAACCTGCCACCCTTGGTATATGGGGCCAACACCCTACCCATTGAGCCACAGGTGCTGCCCTCAGGTTTGGTTTTTTAAAATTTTTTTATTATAAGGGTAAAAGAAGAGCAGGCAACATAAAACTACTGGAATACTTAATGTTGTATTTGAAAAACTAATACATCAATATCTGGTTCCAGGAAAGTAGGTGCAATTTTCAGTGAGTTCTCAAGGTACTCATCAAATGTTTTGGTTCTAGTTTTATTCTATGTGCTTCATTTTTGAAAATGTTTCATTCTCAGAATGAAGGTGGTGTCAAAAGTGATGAATAAGGTGTGACTGGGAAGTGAGAGATATTGTTCCTGGGAAGATAGGACCTAGAAAAGTCCCGTAAAGAGACATGATTAAGTTTTCCTCTAAGTTGACTGTCAGATTGAGGCTCTCTGCATTCCATTTGAAAATTGGCAGAATACGTATTCATGTTGACTGAAAATGGAGTCACAAATGGATCAAAATATTATTTTACCTAGAATCTTGAAATGTGTTTTTGAATTCTTGTATAAGGTCAAAAAGCAAGGCTGCATATTTCCACTGCTCACAGAACTGTGTTCAGCCAAAGGGTTGAAATGCATAAAATTGTTTGCCTTTATTTGAGCTTGCTGTAATTTCAGTTTCATTTGGCTGGCAGTTATGGTTTGAAACATTGTATTGGTAATTTGTTTTTCACTTGAAGACGCATGTTTAACTCATTTGAGTGAGTGGTTAAATATACTAAAAATGCTAAATCTGTAAGCCAGTTTTCATGGTCAAGGTCTGGCCCACATTTGGTTTTTGATACCATACATGACTTGATAATGTGTTGCAAATCACAAAATCCTTTCAGGTTTGGCCTTCACTTAGCCATCTTGCTTCTGAAAAGTAAATGCTGACTACGGCAGCATCAGTACTTTAAAGGGATTCTTGGAATTGGCAGTGTTTAATCCATTATGAAATTCACAGTTTTGATGAAGGTTTGATGACATCCATTTTTAAAGCTTTTGCACATTTCTTGATGTGCTATGTAGTGGTACTTGATCAAACATGAATTTGGGGTGGCAGTTGAATGGTTTTATATTAATTTTACAAGTTCCTCTCTTCTACCTCCATCTTTAGGGCACCGTATCTGGTAACTGACTATACCAGATACATTGACAGTAGACAAAGAAAACTGCTTTAACATATTTTTTGTTGCTTTGTATAAATCTCTTGATTTAATTGAGTCTCTTAATGGCACTAAATAAGCCATTTTTTTAGTGACATGTTTGTCATTAATATCTCTAATAAAATTGTCAGGTTGAGTCATATTTGTAGCATCAATGCTGATACCCATGGCCAAAGCAAAAAATTTAAGATTAGTAACTTTACTCTCCAAACTTTTTTTGATAGATTTTTCTCATTTCTTCAGTTCTCCTGGCTATAGTCTGATGAGACAAATTGATTTTAAAAGTATCCACCCTTTTTTTCAGGGCAAATGATAATCTGCCATGCTTTCCATACATTGCTTAATAAACTCACCATCAGTAAATGGTTTTGATTTTTTTTTTTTTTGCTGTTAAATATGCTACCACATAACTAGCTTTTACAGTGGAATCTGAGTTTGTGACTTTGTAAAAAAAATTTTTGTTGAGAAGACAGATTTTTTTCAGTTCTGCTATTTTGTCCTTACAGCACAATCCTTCATACTCATTGGATTTGGCAGCATGTTTTTGCATATGCCTTTTCAAATTATAGTCCTTGAAAACTTACACAAATTCCCTACAAATGAAGCAGAGTGCCTTACTATTTGCCTTGACAAAAAAAAAGTAGTCATCTGTCCACTTTTCATTGAACAGTCTTCCTTCATCCATGATTTTTCTTTTTGGGAGTTCTGATTTCTTTTGAGATGTTGTAGAAGCCCAGCAAGGGATTTGGATGTTTCTGAGGTGGGAGGTAACAAAGAAAAACTTTGGCTTGGCGCCTGTGGCTCAAGTGGCTAAAGCACCAGCCACATACACC